AGACTTGCAGGTGTAATTACAGCAAAAGCTGGACCTGGTGGGGCTGAATATTTTAGTACTATGCTCTGTTCAGCTTTTTCTTGGTAAAAAATAAAAAAACAAAAACATGTATAAAATTCCAATAAAATAGATTTATATTTGTGGTTGCAATGTAACAAATGTGGAAAAGTGTAAAGGTTATGAATACTCATGCAAGCCACTGTATAATTGGTGCAAATGAAAAACAGATCCAAAAAGAAAAACTGTGTTGAAAAGCAGCAGCTTAAAACTCCCAAAAGGAATCTGTTAAAACTGTGTGATTTAAATTGAGGTATTTTATTTGGATTGACAGTACTTTTACAGTATTAGAATCAGAATTAATGGAATTGTTCAAAACACAATTTCCATACAAGTGAATCCATCCTGATCTCCCAGAATTATTGGAGGCCAAAATCAGCCAGCCAGCACCTTCAGCTAACAGCTTTCAGCAACAGTTTTCTGTATGATTATAGTTTTATCTATCTTTTTGTTTCAACCGATTCCTTTTTTTGCACGCCCTATTTTGGCAGAGGGGTGTCCCAGACTGCCTGATTGTTTTTAAAATATAGTACCCTTTACTGTACTTTGCCTTGTGTCCACTTTGCAAATCTAACTTGACTGACTTTAAAATGTGAATATGATTCAACTTGCTAAGCTACAGGTAAATAATCTAACAGCAGCAGCCAAAATGAAGGCATAATTGCAATGTTCTGCTTCATCTCTTTTTAAGCAGCAAGGAATGGCTGCCACGTTTACAGGGTAAGGAGAGAGGATGGCAAAGAGAGCAAAGGGAACAGGGTGTGAGAGGAGAAAAGGGGAAATAAAAGGCAATCCATGGGAGGAGAGAAGAAAGAGTCATGTTCTGACAACACCTCCTCCTTTTCTCTCAATCAGCAACTGGATTTCAAGGCAGAATAGAAAATGCCACGTAGCATTACAACCCCCCTCCTCCCTCCATCCCTTCGTCCTTCTTTCCGATCCTGCAGCTGTTCTTCACATCTGCTACGCTCTGGTCTGTTCTGTGGGAACAGACCAGATAAAATAAAAACAACAATGTTTGCATGTTTAGAGGGCCTCTGTCTTTCCTTTAAGGACGGGTGATCCAACAAGGAGGAAAGACTCCGCAGATGTTAGAGGTCAGAACTGTAGAGGCAGGTTTGAGCAGGTACACCTGTAGGTTAAGTGAGAGACAGAATTATTGGGGCAAAAAGGTGGAATATTTATCATGTGTTGATGAGAGCAAGCTCTTTGAACTTTATGAGAGGCATTTCTGAGGTACATAGTGAGTATGTAAACGCTCAAGAAAAACTCCATGGAAAATCTCCATAACTGATCCGGTGTCAGAGCTTGTAATCTACACTGCTAGCAAAGATGTGTATATGACGTGGCAGCATCCCAGGGGCTTCTTAGAAACCAGCAACTTCCAAATGTTTTTAACATCCTCTCCCGTCTCACTAAGATGTAGACATTAAAATACATAGAAATTCCTGGTTGCAGCGTGCATAATTTTTTCACAAGAAGGGCTTAGTATCCAAGAATTTAAGGCTGAACTGAAGATAGTGGCCTTTGAATTTGTCACATCTACACCATGCTGCCAGTGATTTGGGTAAATGATGACGATATTGGGACTTTTAAAAACACTTCATTTACACAATTCAAAACATATAAGCATTTTTTGATATAAAGGTGTCAGTTAAGAATCATTCAATCAGGAGCTTGTTATATTGTAAATCTCCATCATCTGATACAGTATATAAAATGTTGTTAAAACTTCATAACTGAATAAAATTGTCCATGTTCTGAGTGGCTCTGTGGATGTGAAACTCTTGCCTTATTCTGGCTTTAACGTTGCACATCCACAAAGCCACGGCATCAAGGTGAGGTCCCTCCTGCAGTCTGTCTCTAGGGAACAGGTAAACTGCCATCTTTGCTTCACTGATTAAAACATTTAAAAGTCGGGTCTTTTGCAATATTGTTGATGGAGATGCTGTAACCACTGCATGGAGCAGTACATGCCACTCAGTCAATCTTCTTCGGAAAATGATGCCAAAGAAAACAAAGTTGTTCTAATCATGATTTGGCCTGCTCTATGACAAATTCACTTTGACTTTTTCTGCATAACATCAACCTAAATGTCAGTTCAAGACAGTTGAAAAGTGAAACATGTCCAATTCATATTAACAAAAGAAGGATGGATGTGGTCAAGGTTCCGCACAGTCATCCTGTTAGATTAAAAGTATTCAGTTGGAGCTTCAACAACCTTTCCCATCAAAACATTTCAAAACCTACAAAAGCCTTCATTAATAATACGTTTGGTTTTATAAATATTTGTTGAACTTTAAAGAAACAACATACTTTTCTGTTTTTTAATTGCACTTTTTATATTTCTTTAAAAAAAACTTAAAGATATAGTTGAGAATTTTTCGCAAATTTTTTAAAAAACCCTCCTGCTTCATTTAAAAAAAATAAATAATGCAGATGCACAATCCTTTGCCCGCTCCCGAGAGGGAATGACTATTAAACACGCCCCAAAGTATGCACAAGCCCAATTCTCCTCATGCACACTCTGTTTAAAAATTGCTGTTTGCATCGCTCATACAAGCTTACTTTCCAAAAGAAGATTGGCAACTTTCCCACAGTGTCAGACTCACCACTGGTAAATGAAAATGGGGATGAGCACGTAGAGCAGGTTGACATAAACATATCACCAGAATGATTGACAATTAGGAGGACCACTTATTTTTATGATCCACCCAGAAAAATAATATCCTCCACTATACCTTTAAATCATAATTTTTTTTTGTCAAGAATAGTGGATACTTGTTGCTGAAGAGACAGTGATGATTTCTTGCTAAATTTAATGAAGTAAAAATACATAAACCATTATCCAGAACCAATCGACATGAAACTCAGGAACCAAAAACTAGTAGGACACAGGAATAAAGATAATCCAGCAAACAGCAACTGCAGATGAGGAATATATATGCCAAACAGAACAATGAATGGAGTAATCAACTAATTGGGAGCAGGTGTGGACAGAAGAATCTAGAAGGGAGCTAGGAGGAAAGACACTGGCACTAGGGGGCAACAGAGAGTTAACAAAAAATACAACAGACATTAAAAGGAAATTAATCTACTGGGAATGGCTTAGAAAACACAGAATAGCATAAATAAAAGTATCTGAAAACCCAAAGTGAAAACTTAAACAGAACCAAAAAGTCCAGAAAGGTCAGAATCATAACATTTTGACCAAATGAATAAAAGACTAAACAAAATCCATTAGTTTGTACAATTTGGAATAAGAAAAAAATGCTTATGTTTTAAAATAGCCAATAAAACAAAAGTAAACTGAATAAATAAAATGTATTTGTTAGGCAGTTTTTCGAAATAGAAATTACAAACTGATGGTAAAATTTGTTAGACAAATCAGCACAAAGTCATTAGTGGATGTGGAAGAATGTACAACCCCTGGCAAAAATTATGGAATCACCGGCCAGGATGTTCATTCAGTTGTTAAATTTTGTAGGAAAAGAAGCAGATCACAAATATGACACAAAACTAAAGTAGTTTTAAATGGCAACTGTCTGGCTTTAAGAAACACTAAAAGAAATTTTTTAAAATGTGGTAGTCAGTAATGGTTACTTTTTTAGACCAAGCAGAGGAATTCATTCTAGATTCATCACTGAATATAACTTTAATCTAGTCATCCACATTTTACCATTGCTTTTCCTTAGCCCATTGTAACCTTGTTGTTAACTGTTCAGGTATTAATGATGGTTTTCATTTAGCTTTTCAGTATGTAATTCCCATTACATTTAGGCGTTTTTTTTTTTTTTAGTTCAATCACATATGTTGATTCCGTTTTTCCTTCCATTCAATTCTCATTTGTTTTGTTGTGCTTTTTGATTTTTTTAAACATTTTCCTTCAAGTCTTTTGTTCTGATGCTTTGATGTGCTCCTTGGTCTACCAGTAGAGGTGGCCCAGAGGTGTCAGGTTAAAAACAAAAGCCGCAACAGAAATACAAAAGCCACAAAGGACGTCAAGCAACCTGCAACTGAAGTAACAGTCATTATGCTCATCTTGCAATTAAGAATCAAAAGATTGCACTTATTAACAGTCTTTCTTGCCACATAATAAATGATCTGTCCCGCTAATGTTTCTGACTTAGTGTTCTGGACCATAGACATGTTTATAAATAAATCCTCCATTAAACACTATCACCTGGCGCTGGTGAGATGTGGTTCCGCCATCTTGGAGCAGTCAACCGCTCCACTCTTCGCAAGTCTATATGGTAGGATCAGGAAAGTATCAGCGCATTCAATCAATCATAACTTGAAGACACGAATATCATATATTTTATGCATTTGTGCTACAAATCTTATAAATAGGGTTATTATAACATGGTCCGGTGTATTTTAGCATTACTGGGGTTTCCAACAAATAATATTATGATATAAAACTATGTATATATTATATAACACAGTCACACACATGTTCAGAAATGTTTTCTTTACTTATTTTTAAATATATACTATACACTCACAAAAACAAAAGTATTATAGAAAAAAAGAGAACACAATGATAGACAAATATCTGCAAACAACAACAAAAAAATGTTGTATCCATGGATTTAGAAATGGGTCATTTTCTTATTTAAATTACTGGTAGAAGCGTTGAATGAATAAAAACAGGAAAACAGAACTGGAACACATCCAGTACAGATCAATATCTAAAGCTTAATATAAAATATAATTCTACATAGCCAAATAAAAAAAATATGACAGATTTCTTTGGTGGGTACAAAACCTTAAAAAATGATTACGGGCCTTCCAGAAAATTATTGTACATGCTCATCTTCAGACATCCATAAAGAAACTAGAAAATGTATTGGTATAAATGGACTCCTGCACTTTACCTAGCCGAAGGGAGCGGAGAGTTAACTTCAAGCCCATCCCATGCAGACAGGAGGAGATGGGAGGGGGTTGGGGGATGGAGGGGGCAAGAGCCATGTACATACTGGGACGTCCCACTGGAAATGTCTTCTGAGCAAACTGGTGAGCCAGTTAGATCTTCCTGGAGCCCCGCACACGGCTGACTTCTCTCCCCATTGTCCCTGCTCTGCAAAGCTGAAGGTAAGAGGTCTCACTCTGAACTGTTTTAACTGCCTCAGGTTGACATTTACTAATGGTGGAATATGATATGTCTGAGTGAAAGGTTTCCAAATTCATGGGTCTTTTAAAGCATTCAGGCTGTAAAACTGCACTTCACAGACCAATAAGTGAAATAAGTAAAGTTTGATCACTGCTAGGTGTGGAAGAATCCCTCCATTATTTATAAAAGGTTTTGAGGGTGTATCCATTTTTATGTACCAAAAGCAGGAGAAGTTCTTTTTATGAAATGGTATTCATCCTTCTTACTTTATAGTCACAATATAAATACTTTCCTCTCATGGGGAAATAATTTCAAACAACCCACTATAAATAATCTGAATTCAAACAGAAAGTTGTGCTGAAAATGTCTTCTTTGTTGTTCAGACAGCTAACTGGAAAATCATTCATTGCATGTATTATACAGAGTGTGATTGGGGAGATTATTCTCTATGGAGCTTTTGTCTGCCACATCGACAACAGGAGGAGGAGGGGGAAGAGAAATGAGGACACTGGCTTGAGGGAGGAGGCTTTCAAGAAAGCTATTCTGTTGGTCAACTTTGGTTTTCCTTTCTTAGTTGGATTTTTATTTTCCTAAGTTTGATGCAAAAACTGCACACCCTTGAAGATGTTTTTTAAACTTTCCCAGTTTTGTAAGAGAGTATCCATATTTTTTCTTACTTTTGGGGGGGAGGGGGACTTGTGGAAAAAATGAAGAAAAAACATGGAGGGATAAAAGTTTTTATCTAAACCAGGCAGCAAAACAGGAGAATTTCTCCTTCTCTGCCACCTACCCTCCATCTCCGCTGCAACTCAGGGTCTTTGATTACTCCCATGAAAAGGAATGTGGGTTGCCATGGTGATCACTGACCAGCTGTTTGCTGTGATTTAAAGCAGACCACTAAAGGTACTTTAGGAACAGGAATTTTGATTTAATTTGCTTTACAACTATGTAGAAAAATGTAAAAAGCCACTGTTACGCACTAGTCAAAAAATAGTTTCCCTAATTTAATGTAAAACTTTATGATCTTCAGTTTTGGCAAGGTTTTTTCTTTTAGTTTTAAAATATTGGTTTAAAGTTGTACTCAGATATATAAGAAGGTTTTGTGTATGTAAATTTAAAACAATAATTAGCTAAAATCTTTTGTAAATCATTTATATTGCAATGGTAGCGGGCACTCATATTTTACATTTCAGAAAAATGTCCTCTCTTTCTGTAATTTGAAAAAAGCTCCTCTTATTTTCCTATATTACTCACACTTGTTGAAGATTCCCTTGAGAGCTCCTTTAGAGAGAATGAAGCACAGTAATATGCTGGCATCAGGAGTGAACCAGAGCCTGAGCCTCTAGTGCCTAATTGTTGAGGTGGCAGGTCTGGACAGAATGTAGGGAGGATGAGGAGGAGGAGGAGGGAAGGAAGAAAGGGAAGGGAGGTGGTGTCAGCGCTAAGGATGCTGTGGAAAACTGAGCAACAAAAGCTGTAATCCCTTGACAGGAAGAAGGAAGATTGTGGTGCTGTCCACGCTGACGTGGAGAGGAAAAATCTGGATTGTTTCTGTGGGAAGGAAGATAAGATGAAAACGTAGCAGGCATTTAACATTAAGACACAAAGGAGATTAAGTTAAAAAGTAGAAAAGAATTGAGTAATGAAAATAATAGGGATTCATTATTGTTTAGGTTTTACTGATATTCTCACAGATATTCCAGAACAAGATCCACTAGTTAGAACAGCCTAGTTCTATGCTTGGGATTGATCTTGTTCTCCTAACGTTGATCATCTTTGCATTTTCTGCATCTTAAAAATGGCATGCATCAAGTACAAAACTAATTAAAAGTTCTTTATAATTTAGGTAAATGCCTTTGGGCTTTAAACTAAAGCACCATACATATTAATTGACTGGCGAAAGTAATCTCAATAAGTAGCCTAACAATTGCTGTATTATGAGGAAGAGAAGAAAAACTTTGAAAACGCAGCATCAAGATCAAAGAATGTTGCTCTGTAATAAAACAATAATTTTAGATGTTGCATAAGTCCATTAAAATCAGCTAAAGGAGAATGTTTTCTGAAAAAAAGCCATGAGGAAATGATTAAAACTGTAAAAACAACCATACATTATGTAACATACAGTTTTTTGAATTTACTCTTGACTTACAGTTCTGCATGACTTTATATATTGATGTAAATTGCATAACATTTGGTCAGTCGGCATCTATTTTTTAAAGATTTTTTTGTCATTTTAAAATGAAACAGAGAAATCTGTGTCCGTTCACAATCATTTCAGGGTAGAACAAATGACTACGGTTTATAGATTGTGAAGTGGCTGTAGAAAAGCCCTTTAGGTATGCAACGTCCCTTACAGCTTCCAGAGACATGGGATCTGAGCTGGTGGAGGAAGGGAAAATCTGAGTCAAAGAGGTCAGGTGACCGTGGCTAACAAAGATCTTCACTTTTCTCCTTTACCTTTTTGCAGGTGCCTTTCATGAAAACTACTCTTTGTCCATAGAACTGAATGGGCGTGCCAGAAATCTCAAGGGGGCGAAACTAAATTTGCCAGCTACTATAGGCCACCAAGACTAAACCTTTTTTTAGATTCCTGTCGGTAGGTCAGATATATGAGAAAATAAAATGAAAAGCAACGGGAGTTTCTATACTTAGCAACAGTAGGTAAATATAGTCTAAATGTTACTTTGTGCTTTTACTTTTCTATTAAACCCTTTAAGGTTTTGATGGTCCAGCCAACAAACAGGAAAAACAGATAAATTACAGATACACCTGATCTCAATTGTATATGTACATAAAGTAGGACTCTCCTCAAAGCCACTTCCTTCTAATCCAACCTCTCCATCATTAGGAACAATTGAAAAACTTTGTAAATGACACCAAGATATTAGATCTGCAAAAATGCAATAAGAGCATCTGCAAAAAAATTATATAAGAAGAAGACAGGTACTGGCATGATTACTAAAAAATAAAATGAAAATCACTCCACAACCACACAGAAGGAGCATGTTAATGGTCTGAAGGCTTTTGGAGCCATATACAATAAGACTCATTAGCACGCAGGGCTCTAATGCCTCAGGTTTTACAGCTAAACGTCAAATAAATTAAATGAACTGTAAAATTTTAACAGCCACAACCCTAAAGATTGGTTCCAGAAGGGTATTTTATCTTGATACTGACCCAAAACAAAACATCAAGGCTACAGAACATTGACCAAGCAAGAACTACATTATAGATCATAGAGTGATCTGTCTTAGAAAAAATCTTTGGAGGAAACTGCAGGTTCAAATTACAAGAACCCATGAGGTCTAAAGCACAGAGTCAGAAAGCTTCCTTAGATGTTCCCAAACCTGAAGAAATGCCTTACAGTAGTGTAGGGGAACAACAAGAATGGCTTTTGTTTTAATTTCCTGTCCTTTTCCCAGTTTAAAGCCATTGTTTGATTTAAGATTAAACTCTTGTTTTATCCATCCGTCCTTCGTCCATCCATCCATGTATCCGTCCAACCATCCATCCATCTGTCCATCGATCCGTTTGTCCGTCCATCCATCTTCCCCCTCTTATCCCTCATGGTCACTGTGGGGCTGGTGCCTATCTCCAGCAGTCTGTGGGTGAAAGATGGAGTTCACCCTGAACAGGTCACCAATCTGTCGCAGCACAATACACATTTCATTCAAATAAAAATTATTTAAGTTGGTTTTTATATATATATATATATATATATATATATATATATATATATATATATATATATATATATATATATATATATATATATATATATATATATATATATATATATATATATATATATATATATATATATATATATATATATATATACCATACATTTCCTCATTTGTCTTCGTTGTCAAATATTACAACATTTTCAACTTCTTCTTAAGTTAGCAAACAAATAGTGTCAGCAAAGAACCAAATTACTGTTTATTCCATATGCAACAGATTAACAACATAAATCAGGAGCTTACAAACGCAACAATCCCAGTCTTACGTTTCCTGACAGACTTTCCAGCACCTGTTTGACATGTTTAACCTCTTTGACCTGCACTGTCTGATCTTTGGCACAGTAAAGTCCTTCCAGATGGCAGACATATCCATTTAAGAATGTGAAAAGGAGACAATGATGCTTCCAAGATTTCAACCTACCTTGTTTGGAAGAGTACAGCAAAAATAAAAAGATCTACCACTAGGCTGCAAATTACTGCTGAGGTTTATGGCTTAATATTAAAGCTTCATTGTAGAAACACAAGTTGATCATCACTCACTCCCTATGTTTTGACAGTAGTCACATTATTTCCACCTCTTGGCCTTGTGCAGACACAGGAAATCATGCTTATTCTCAGAGTTTCCAAATATTTCTCTGTTCCTATTGCTGTTTGTCCAGAATGTTTACTGCCAGGCAGGCTGTTTATCTGGATCTCCAGAAACTGAATGTTATGTCACCAAGGAGGATGAGAAAGAATTTTCTCAAAGATCTGGTGGAAAAAGCAAAAGGTATTACAGCAACCCTAAGAGAATTATGAATGAGTGACAGTTCAAGCTTAGGTTGGTTTCCTCCAAAGTAAGTTTACTCTTGCTTACCTAACTACCCAAATTAAATAGATTTGTGGGGAAAAGGGCCTCTTTATAAGCCTGAAGTTTCCCTTTTAGCCTCAGCCCTGTTTAATTATGAGCACAGCTTTCCAAATAAAATAATTTGTTTTGCTGTTACGTCAGTTTGTCTGACCCCCTCCCGACACTCCAACTAAACGGGAATCTTTTAAAAGCGAACATATAACACACACATTAGATCTCTCCAAATCAAATATTGACCCCACACAATTAGGAGATTACAACATTTCTGTTTTCTCCCATTTCTGTATACACTTTTACTATTTTTTCTTATTCATTTCTCTCCCTACCTTCTCTTCTCTAGTTTTCCATCGCCAGAACCTTTTTGTTAGCTCTGCTTCTTCAAAGGTGC